TAGCCCACACGTGTGCATTTTCCAACTTTTTGATGAAAATGTTTTCCCACGCTGGTTGTAAATTTTTTTTTTTTGCAATGGAAACAAATTTCATAACCAATGGTAAAAAAAAAAAAATTCACTTTAATGGACAATTTCTATGTAAAACAAAGTTAAAACGAATACTAAACTTTGATGAAAAAAATGATTTTTTAGGAAACAATTTTTTTTCCTTTTTTTTTTTTTACTTTTTGTCCATGGAAACAAATTTTATAACAAATTGTGAAAAACATATCACTTTAATGGACAATTTATATGTAAAACAAATCCAGACGAATAGAAAATTTAAAAATTTTTCGGGCGAAAAATTATACCAATCAAATACACTTGAAATCATTTTCACAGCAAAATTTTTTCTAGGTAAATTTTTTTCTTGTAAAATATTTTTTTTCCACCCATTTTTCATCTTGCAATCAAACGCACATTTACACTTTTATGCCAATATTACAATTTTGTCAAATTTAGAGGGCGAAAAAGGAAATATGCAATATTAACCCTAATTCATGGAGAAACCCTGGCAGAATTGAGCTTGTCACTTTTCAAAATAGTCCTCACTACAAAATTCACCGCCACCGCCAACTTCACCTCTGTGGCCTTCCCAGGTCAATATATATACGTATGGTTACTTGTTACATTTCTTGTTTTAGGTTTTTTGTATGATTATTTACGATATTACACATTTTCTTTATACTGTCATTTATTTTATTTTTTTAATTATTTTTTCCCAATTTTTTTTTGGATAATGATAGACGTTTACAGCTGGGTATTGATTCATTTACTTGCAAATGATGCTGAATATTGATATATGTATAGATACAATTTTTGTTCCATCTATATTAAAAAATTTGTTTTGTCTAATTGGAATTGGGTTCAAAATTCGACCTTCTTGTGTTGTGCCAACAGAAATTTGACTACCTGCATTGCTTTCTGCCGAAGAGAGATTAGGGGGTTATAGGATTGGATCGATTTAGTGAAAGATGATGCGAATTTCTGAAATCAAGAAATTAAAGCCCTTGCAATCATCCTTGGAGTCGTTAAGCTATCAATATTTACAAAGATGCTCCGTCAGTGGAACAGCAAAGGGGAAGGGCAAAATCAAAACGGGACAGACATTGAAGCGATCAAAGGTCACTACTAAAAAAGGCTCAGCAGTTTCTTCTCCAACAGAAGGACCTAGAAGGAGAAGTGAATTTGACGAAATGGTTGATAAATGCTTGAGTGCAACTTCGCCAGTCAGATTCTTGAAGCCTAAAGAAAAGGCGAGGGAAGCCGAGAGAGAGAAAATGGGGCTAATAAGCAAAGCCCGCGAGCAGGAGATTCAGAAACTTAAGAAGAAAGGAAAGGATTTTGATTCACCAATGATAATTGGGACTCCAGGTATGGATTTGATAACCTTAGGTGCAGTTGACGCTGATAAAATTCCAAAGTATGAGCTGACTGTTGAGGACGGGCGGAGGCTTGCAAAAGAGTATAGTAGAATTTTGATGAGGAAGCACAGAGCAAGACAGGCAGCAGAGTCAACACTCTTGAGGTTGAAGAAGGAAGCAATTGAGGCATTGCCTGAGAACTTGAAGGCAGCTGCTTTGGTACCAGATTTGACACCTTTTCCCGTGAACAGGTTTATGGCAACATTGACGCCACCTATTGAAGGTTATATTGAGAAGATTAATGAGGCGGCTCGGAAGAGTGCTGGCAAAGAGAAGCTCAGATAATGAGAGGTCAGGGATTTCCACTTAACTTCTCCTTGTGCATTGAGTTGTCAGAATGCATTTAGTATTGTGTCAATTTCAATTGCTTTAGACTATGGTACAAGAATGTGGTCACATCATAAGATTTTCCCATTTTAATATGCGTTGTGAGATCCTGCCCTATTTTTGCTGTTATTCCACTAGTTAACGGTATCAAGTCTTTTACTTAGTGAAATGCGGAGACATGGTTGAGCAATATTTTTCTATGTGATTTGAAGCTTAACTCTTATCATTTTCCACTCCACAGTATGCTTGAAAGCCTTGCTAACTGTATTATCTCTTAAGTATAAAATTTTGCAATATCATATGCACTTCTTTTAGTTGTTAAAATAATTGTTTTGACATGGTGACTGTCAAATTTTAAAGTTACATGGACCATAAATAAGAAAAATCAATAAGTCTCATTTAGATATAAGATATTAGATGTGGTTTCTGAATGTGCAATTTAATAATTATTTAATGCTAGCCCAAGTGCTGACGGGAGTTGTACCTCTTACTTGACTTGATAATGTTTGAAGTTGAGCATGTATATTCATTCCCTGCCAGTTAAGCTCAATGTTCAAATTTGAATCTAAATTCAAAGCTTTACCAAGGATTTGCTTGGTTTGAATCAGGCTTGTTTTTGATAAAGTTGGTCTGTAATTTTTATTTAGAGTTGTTGAGGCATGCAACTCCCTCGTCAGGCTGTTTCTTTCTTTCCTTTTACTGAAGAAAGGAAGGGCATGAGGGTGGGAGGCATGGGGGTTTGAACCCTCAAAATCTAACCAAAATTGATAGCAACTGAACCTTAGAAAGGATACAGAAATGATAGTTTGGGAGTTCAGTATGTTTTATTTGGATAATTCTCAAATTTACTTCCAATGATATGGTACTAATTTTTAGTATAGTGATTTGTGAGTCCTTTCAAACTTTTCGTTGTTGCTTTATACTGTAGGTGTAACCTATTTTTTTCCCTGTAGAGAAGCTAATATTATAAAATTTCTATTTTGGAACAGACAAAATAGGAACTGGAATAAGGAAATCAAAGTTGTAGTTACAGCAGGTTATGGGTATTTTCTGGTAGTTCTGAGGATTTGTAGGTCCTTTGCTACACCAAAAATTGTCATACTGTTTGTTGATTTGTAATATTTAATGATAATGTGAACCACTGAAAGTCCTGATTGTGAAGTGCCACTCGATGTGTGTTGCACTGTGCAGTTCAAATTGGAGATTTTTAATGACTTTCAAGTGATAAAGGAAAATTTTTGAGCTGCAGAATCTAAGAGTTCAGCGTGCTGCTCAACAGATTGACCCTGGAGAAAGAGAAGCACTTGGGACCTTCCCTTGAAATATACATGCGCGCAATAGGACTTTATAGTCTATCCTAATCATCTATACTGCTTTAGTACCTTAGAGTCATTGTATTGGAAGTCAAATTATAGATATGCCCATAGCTGTTTATTATACTATAAGAGCATCTCAATAGGATTTTTGTTAGCCTTACTCTCTTTATTTTAGGAAGCCAACACCTTTATGTAAGAGTCTAACGACCTCTCCAAATTTAAAATTTAAAATAGAAAGTGAATTTGGCTCTGCAAATATAGGAAGACTCTATATATAATATTTTAGTGCTTTCATTTGTTGTTTCATAACTTTTCATACACTTCTTTTAAATAAAGGAAAAATGACAAAATAAAATAGGGAGAAGCTAAGTAAAAAAGAAAGGAGAAAAAATGTTAAGGCATAGTTTTGTATGAAAAAATCAAAATAAAGATAAAATATAGACATTGTTGTTGGACTTGTATAAAAAGACCTACTCTTTATTTTCAAATATTATTTTAGACGCCTTTTATTTTAAAGAGTATGAGCCTGTTTGTTTCCGATTAAAATCCGATTAAAATTGAAAATATGGTCGTTATTGGGTTCCGCACGTCTAATAAAAGTCAACAATAACGGCTAGTTTTTCAATTTTAATCCGATTTTAATCTATACCGAACACGCACTATATATTTCAATATAAAGAGCATCTTAATGGATTTTTTAATAATAAAAAAGTGTAACAGTATACAAGTCCAACAGTACTCTATGCCCTTGTTTGATCTCCATTATTTAAGAACTCATTTTCAACCCGCATTCTCCCATTAAAATAATTTTACACATAAATCCAATTTTCATACTTTTTAACCATACATTCTCCAAAAAACCATTATTACAAAATTTATTTCCCCCAAAAAAAATGGGGCTCAAACAAACCCTATATTTTTTCCATAAACAATTATGACTCACCCTTTTCATCTTTTCTTTTACCTAGTTTCTCTCTATTTTATTTTATCATTTTCCCTCTATTTTCCTTTATAAATATAAAAATTAAAAAAGTGCACAGAAAGTTGTGGAGTAAAAAATGAAGACATTAGAAGTTGTATATAGTGGCTTTGGCTCCCTACTTTTGAAGTGTCAAATCCACCCTTTAATCTATTTTTAACTTTTGACAGTTTGTTGGACTTTTCAATTTGAAGACCGACTCTCTAAAATACAGAATATGAAGCTAATAAAGAGCTTTTTGGAGATGCTTGAGAAACTATGATCATCACCTTTTATAAATAATAAATCTTGAGCTGAATGTGTTTAGACGTGGAGATGTTTTGTTCTGTGCATGCATGAGGTCTAGAGCTGAGAACATTGTTGCTCCTACTTGTTGGATGCTGGGAGTTTGTTATCAGGAATATTATCACAAGTAATGTTGATGAGTTCTAATTTTTGTTATAAAATTCATGAACAAATTCTAATTTTTGTTGATTCACTCACGAATATCAAGAAATAGGCATAAAAAACTATTTGATTCACACATAATATTGAGAATGTACTCGTTGATAGACATAGAATACCAAGAATTTGAAGACAATCGAGGAAGACACAAATGTTTATTCATCAAGTCTCCCTTTCATCAGACCCTAGCTTTGCTTGTACAATAATACCACAGTTTTAGTGCTAGGAAATCTCTGAATTACCACGAAAACTATAGTTCGAAAACCAAAGCTCAAGGTTCCTGTTATAAAATTCTAACATGAGAAGGAAATCTCAAAACTACCCTAAGAATATTCGAATGGCAAAAAAATTCAAAAAAAGTTGTGGTCTGCATCAACTGCAATACAATAGATGGCACAAGTGATATATATAGTAGTTTCCTTTGTCGTGCTTGTTTACTAGATGTATTGAACTGTGGTTATCGTACTGATATCTAGAGTTGTATAGCATTGTTCATGGACGTAAAATCATTTCATTCCTACTGTGTAGGATCACGAAGCTTTTAGAGGCCAGAGGTAGATTTAGTAGTGTTTTATGATATTTTATGTTTCTTGCATGTTTTGTGTGCATAGAACATGGTTAATTACTTGTTGATGATCACCTGAGGTTCACTTTATTGATGAGGTTCAATATTGGCAATCCAGATGATCTCCTGTTTCGCCAGTGCTGTTTACGGAAGAACTTGAAATCTTTGCTGGGTAGTGAACGTGACCTATTCTCTCTATTTAATATAATCGAGACCCCTGCTTAGATGGGCAAAAGTAAACTCAGTTTACTGAATAATGTTTGCAGCTCTATAGAATGATTTATACTCTTCATGTTGAGTTTTGATGGCCATGTTTTGTGCATTTACATTTTCTTCTGCCATAAATTTACTAAACAAACAAACTAGGTTTGAGTTTTGTTATGTAGAACGAGATTGCACTTGATTTTAAGCTTCTTTTTCTTTAATCGTGTTCGATGTGGTTCAGTTCACCCTAGCTCGTTTATATTCTTGTTTTATTTCTCATCCTCAACAATGATGTATGTTTTATCTAGTC